GGCTGGGGGCGGCCGCGGCGGCCGCGGCGGCCGGGCGGGTCGTGCGAGTGTGCTCGCTGGCTTGCACGCCGCGCGAGAAAGGGCCGTGCTCGGGGGCCGGCGGCGGGGAGGAGGGGCCGGCGCCGCATCTCAGCTGCATCCGGCGCTCGACTGCGCAGCAGCCGATCTCCCTCACCATACTTCGTCGTTCATCGTGTGTGTGCTGTTCCATTCCTAATCCCCAGCACGCACACGTGCAATTACACATGCCCGCGTACGAGCGAGGCGCGCGCCCACCCACTCCTGCTCCAGTCCCCGGCCTCTCGCATTCAAATGCAGCCCTCGCTGCCTGCAACCCCGCCACCAATATCGACACGCATGCCCTTATCACCCCAACCACACACCCCGCACACACATACACACATACACACATGCAATTACTCACCTACCCCCCCCCACACACACACACTCATTCACTCACTCGTCCGCCTGCTCGCTCGCTGACTCACCCACACATCAGGGCTACCCCATCGGCAAGGGTGCTGACCTGTTCATCAGCGTGTGGAACCTGCACCGCTCCCCCCACCTCTGGAAGGACCCCGACACCTTCAGGCCGGAGCGCTACGAGGAGGTGCACACAAACCCCCAGTACGGCGGCAAGTGGGCCGGTGAGGGGGCCGCGGGCCGGCAGCCGGCGGAAGGGTCGGGGCAAGGACAGGCGGAAATGGACGTTGAGCAATGTGATAGCTCAGGCTCAGCAGGGCGGCGTTGCAACTGTCCTGAATCAAGGATTCGCACCGCCTACACCACTGAAATATTGCATGCGCGTCCCAACATCGCCCCTAGCACACACGCAGACCCGCCCGCGCATGCTGTTCATTCCATACGTATGTCTTCCCCTTTTTCATACACACACACACATACCCACATTCTACCTTTTCCATACAGTGCAAGTGCAAAGGCACGCGCGCACGCGCGCACGCGTGTACCCAACACACACACACACACACACACACACGCGCGCGCGCGCGCACGCACGCACGCACACACGCACGCACGCTCACACACATACACACACACACACACACACACACACACACACACACACGCACACACGCACACAGATTTGCCCATACGCAAGCACAAATCTCTACACACACATACATACACATTCACACTCTCAATCAGTCCAACACACTCGTGCGCACACACCAACACACGCACGCACTTGTATGCACACGGGCGTGCGTCCAGGGTACCAGCCGGAGGCTGGCAGGGGCGCCCTCTACCCGAATGAGGTGGCCTCAGACTTCGCATTCATCCCCTTTGGCGGCGGCGCCCGCAAGTGCATCGGCGATCAGTTTGCGCTTTTCGAGGCGACGGTGGCCTTCGCGATGCTGCTGCGGCGGTACACGTTCAGGTGCGCGCGGGTCGGTCGAACGAGGCCAGGTTTCCGTGCGTGTCGCGCTGCTGCGTTGGTGGTTGGCAGCCAAGAAGGAGCATGACACAAGCCTGTTTCAACGGCACGGCCTGGTGCAGGTTACGCTGCCAAACCATTTGGCTTGTGCCTACGGATTTGAGAAGAAAAGGTTCCATCCTCTGAACAACGCAACCTTGCCCTCCCCACCACTCAGGCTGGCGGCGACGCCGCAGGAGATTGGGATGGCGACAGGCGCCACCATCCACACCGCAAACGGCATGATGGTGTCTGTGTCGCGCCGGCAGGCGCCAGGCAGCTCCGCCAGCGCGGGCGGCCAGCAGCAGCAGCCCGTGGCGGTGTAAAGCGGGGTGGCGCAGGTGGGGGTCGTGAGGCACAGCAACCTGCTTCTATTGTGATGCAACGAGGCAAATGAAATTCATTCAAACATCCATATTGGAACACATACGAATGAGTATACATGAAATGTAATTGTACGTGAGCAGAGTTCTGATGGCGCCGCCGTTGAGCCATGTAGCGTCGCTTTGCAGGCGGAGTTGGCAGCAGGGTGAGGGCAGGTCGAAGCCTCATCAGGGGCTTGTGAGTTGTGGCCCTCTAACTCCCACATACAAAACAGGTTGAAGGTTCGGATCCGCATTGGCCCCTTGTCGGATCGAGCTCGCCAGTTGGGAGCCCCTGGATGGCTGATCCTGCAACCTCGCCGGTCACCGAGTCGGAGCCGAGCCGGTGCCATCACTCGTCACACCCTCTCATGCCTTCATAGCATCCGCCTTGCTCCCTTGGGCTATTGCCAATAGCACGATGCGATCATAACTGGTTCGCACGCATTGCAAAGCAACGCAGCGTCCAAGGACGGACGATCAAAAAATCCCTTGACTGAACCATGAACACCCGCAACGCGCAAACCGCCAAGAACAACGGAGGCCGTGTTCGTGTGGCCTTCGGTGCTCTCGGAGTGGCCTGGGTCGCTCTTCTGTTGATGGTGCCGTCGAGCAGTTTTGCGGCGCGATCACCGGGCTCACTCATGCAAGGTCCTATTCACCTGCAGCACCCTGTTCATCACTCCAGCTTCCCCATGAAGCCACGGTACCTGGTGCCCTGGCTGCGTGGGGTGACACCGCCTCAGGTGACCAGTCCCCACGAATCAGCTTCTCGCAGCCCTCTGCCCTGCTCGGCGCTGCCTTCCCATGCTTATCGCAGTCCCAATTGTTTGCAGATTGTCAGTGCCATCACTATGGCTGTCCAGGGAGCCGATAGCGCCTGCCATCCGCCGTCGAGCTCCATCGATGCACGCGGTGGGGCGCGACCTGGTCTGGCGCCCGCTGCTGCAGCCCCAATCAAGACAGCCACGCCCTGGTGGCTGCTGACTCAGGTGGGCCAGCGCGTCTTTTGCAAACCGAACGTATTTGATGCCATCTGTATGCACACATGCCACCATGAATGCAGGGGGGTCGTCACTGGGGTGGACTTTGAAAGGTTGCGCAGGACGGAGGTACTTGCTATGTGGGGCCATGCCATTGCGCTTAGCCACTGGCAGGCATCCACGCAGGGTGGAGCCAGGATTTGATGCCCAGCGTCCTCCTGCCACGCCGTTACATCCAATCGCAGGAGCCGGCCACCCGCAAAGGCCGTCCGCCGCACCAGCTCAGTGCTGTTGTAGTTAGCACCGCGGCCGCTCGGGCTCCCTCAGGCGCCCTTACCCCCACCGCCAGCGGCAGCAGCGGGCCCCCTCGCCGCACGGCGACGCGCGCACTGCTCCAGGGAAACGGCAGCGTCGCAACCGGCGCAGCGAGCGCAGGCGACGTTGGGGCCTTCCCTGATTTGATGGGCGGCATCAGCGAGCCCGCCGCGCCGCGCGTGACAATCGGTCAGGTCGCGAGCAGCATGAACGTTCCTATCGCACCTCCCTTAAGGCGCCGCCTGGCAGAGCGGCTGTCGACGAGTGCGACAGGCTGGCTGCGTCGCGCTGCGATGCAGCTGTGCCCGTGGCCGGGTTGCATGTTTGGCAACCCGCTCGAGCAGCGGCAGCAGCAGGAGCAGCAGCAGCAGCAGCAGCAGCAATCAGCCCTGCGTGCGCATGGGACCCAACGACAGCAGCAGCGGCATCAGCGTGCAGCCCGGCGCCTTCAAATGCGCCCCAGCCCCGCAGCGACTGATGGCAAGAGCGGTCTGTCCATCGACCTGTCAGAGGCTCCGGCAGAGTACAGGAACAACATCAACAGGATGCTGCCACCAGGCACTTCGACACCCGCCCCCGCGCCGACGCTTCCAACCCCTGCGCCGCCCGCAGCAGCATCTCCCCCCGGCAGCCCAGGCGGCGCCGGCGCGGCCAGCAGCCCGCCGCCGGGCGGGGGCGCGGCCGCGCCCGTCCAGAACGCTTCTGGCAAGCCGGCGGCACAGCCGGAGGGCGTGACCCTGGAGACGGTGAAGCAGGGGGTGGGGCCTTGAGGGGGCGTGTTGTCAGGCACGCAATGGCTGCCGCCTGACGGGGTTGGGTAGCAGGAATGACAGCTTTGGCCACGCGTCAAACCAGAACGACAGTTTCAGCCCGGCCTGTGGAGTGGAGTGATCTTTGACTGAACAAATGGCTGTGCTCCTGACGAGAGGTCATGTTGGTTCTTGCAATTCATCTTTTTATCACCACAACAAAGGTGTCTGAAGGCTGCCTCACGCTTGCACGTAGGAGAGACTGGTGTTTGGTGTGCCAGTCCCCGGTGCATGGAACGCTTGATTGCTTTTGACCATGCTTCAACTTGCCTGCCCCTACCAGTCCCCCTCTTTTCTCTGGCAGTAGCATAATCCCTCATGCCATTAGAGTATCTGCACACCTTCCAGTTGTGGAATGTGCTGCTTATTGCTCTTTCGAAACAGGCACGCATGTTCTTGTTTTGCAGGCTTGCAAGTGTAGTGCGTCGTTAGCTCAAATGCGCGGTGGTTTAGGGGAACGGGGGGGGGACCCCACAGCACATTTCACTGATTAAACTTTGTGTGTCGCTGAGCTTTGACTGCTTCATTCTGTCGATGGACGGTACGAGGCGGCCGTCCATGGGGTGTTGGTTGGTCAAAAGGAATGCAGACTTCACTGTCGACTTCATTGGAAGTTGATTGAAGGCATTTTGTTGTAATGAAACTGCTGTATAGATGCACTGCAGCATTTATGCAGAAGTACATGTCACCTACATGGAAGTCGTGGTCGGCTGTCACCATCCCACAGGGGGCGTGAAATGTCAAGAAAGCGGCATGCGCTCCACGCGAGTGGGCAGTGGGGTATCCCTGCCCGCACCCCTTCCACCAAGACTCGTACCGTATCACAAGTCATTACGGTACTGCGTCGAAAGGGTTTCTGGTGTCACATTCAGCCGCGTTGGATCGAGCTTGTATTGCTATCTCGGCATGTGTGTGCGCGTCAGGTGACGGAGTGTCGGCCGTCGAGCGACAAAGTGACGTCGCCGCTGGCTGAACCTGGGCCTACCTTCTGGTAGACACTGCATGCATCAAGCAACTCCAACGATCAGTTATCTGTCGCTGAAGGACTGCATCGCAAGATCAACGCAGTGGTCGATCTGACACTTCAGCCATCATGAGTGGCTGCGGGCGATTTGAGGACGAAGACGAAGCGGATGAGGGGATGACGACGGTCGCTGATGCGAAAGCGTCCGCACAGCACGCCCGTCCCACAGGCTTGGGCTCCTGGTCGCGCGCTACTGTCACGATTGGTGCCGCAGCCGCAGCCGCCGCAACCGGCGCGCCGCAGCCGTGCCAAAAGTGCCGCGCCCGCGAAGCTATCGTCGTCGTGCGCCAGAATGAGCCGCTGTGCGCGGCGTGCCTTGAACAGGGGGTGGTGGGGAAAGTACGCAGCGCGACTAAAGGCAGGGGCCTGCTGCAAGAGGGCGACAGAGTGATGCTCGCGCTTTCAGGCGGCGCGGCGTCCGCGGCTCTGCTGCACGCGGCACTGCAGCTGCAGAACCGCAACCCGCTGCGCGCAGAGCGTGGGCAGGTGTCTTTCACTCTTAGGGTGGTGCACGTGCGCGCGCCTGGGCCTGCGCCGCTCGCCGGCGCTCGCAGTGGCGACGGCGACGGGCCGGATGCGGCAGCGGCAGCGGCAGCGGCGGCAGGGGCGATTGCGGCCGCGGCAGGCGTTGCGGGCAGCTTCCGGGTGGTGCCTCTTGAGGCCGTGTATGAAGAGGATGACTCGCTGCTGTGGGCAGAGGACTCGAGCGACAGTGGTGACGCAGCGGATGTGCAGCAGCAGCAGCAGCAGCAGCAGCAGCAGCAGCAGCAGCGGTTCCAGTCACAGGAAGCACAACAGGGCCAGCAGCGACAGGAGGGGGCTGAGGCAGCCTCCTTGGATGACAACACGGCAACAGCGGGCACGGCCGAGGCGGCGAACGGCATTCATCCAGAGGCCCTGCAGAAGCACGAGGCGCGCCTGCGGGCGCTGCTGTCCGCAATCAGCGACCCGACCGCCGCCGAAGACGTGGCGGCGCACCTGCGGGCCCGCCTGCTGCGCCGAGTCGCGCTGGCGGCCGGCTGCAACAAGCTGCTGCTCGGCGACTGCGCCAGCACGATCGCCGCGCGCGTGGTGGCCGACGCGGCGAAGGGCCGGGGGTTCAGCCTGCCGGCGGACATGCAGCCGCTCGACGCGCGCGCGCCCGGGCTTGTCGTGCTGCTGCCGCTGCGGGAGACGTCCATGGGCGAGGCGGCGGCGCTGGCGGGGCTCCAAGGCCTGCTGCCGAGCGCGCCCGTCGCCGCGGCGGGCAGCGGCGCCGGCAGCCTAGGTGGGAGCCAGGGCGGTCAAGGGCACGGCGGGAGCGTGAACGGGCTGGCTCAGGCGTTTGTGGAGGCGATGCAGGCCAACCTGCCGGCGTCGGTGTTCACGGTGCTGCGCACCGCGTCGCAGCTGGAGGCGTTCGACTTCAACGCGCCGGCCGCGGCGGGGCCGGCCGCGGCCGCGGCCGCGGCGGTTGCGGCAGGGGCGCGCGCGGGCGGCGCG